CTTCGAGAACACTGTCCAACCACCTCGTCCTCTGTCGTCCCTTCTCCTTGTGCCCTCAGTCTTTCCCAACATTTGGGTCTTTTCCAGGGAGTCTCCTCTTCTCATGAGGTGGCCAAAGTATTGGAGCCTCAGCTCAGGATCTGTCCTTCCAGTGAGCACTCAGGGCTGATTTCCTTAAGAATGGATAGGTTTGATCTTCTTGCAGTCCATGGGACTGAGTGTTCACTGGAAGGACAGATCCTGAAGCTGAGGCTGCAATGGATGGGAAAAAAATCCAACACAAATCTGGACTTGGGGATCAGAATTAGGAAGCTTCTTATGTTGCTCAACAAGGGCATATCCCCCCCCCCCGAATGAAACTGCACCACAACTTGCACTTCAAACTCCCCCAAAAGCCCTCAGTGCAACAGGGGGAAATGGTCAAATGCCTTGGAGGAGGTCTGTCGCATTTGTGGGTGGTGCTTAGGACTGACCGAGCTAGGGATCATCTCTCAGCATTGCCTTCAAACCTTCCACCAACATTTCCATTACATTAATACAGGGCAGTTAAAGCTAAGAAAATGTGGGCTGGGTTTGCCCTCTTTTTTTGTAGTGGGTGCAGGGAGAAGGATTTCATGGGTGTCTAAGTGCAAAAGCTGACCAATACTGGAACCGTTACTTTCCCTACAGGCTAGTGGAGCCGCCCAGCTACAGGCGAGACTGTTTTGTAATACTGTGCTCCACCACGTCAAGTCTTCCAGAAGTACCATAACAAGTTGCCAAGACAAAGCCAAACATTTTAGGATGTGATCTGAAGGCACATGAGACCACTATCTTCCTGAAGCCAACGAGATCTGGAGGGGACCTGCATTTCATTCTTATCTTCAATCACAATTTCGGGCCTTTCCTGCTGGGGTAAAGATCTGCAGACTCAGTCCAACCTAAACCCAACGAAATGAAACAAGGAAAATCTCCCTCCTACCTCCCCGTTCTCTTGGTGGGTCTCCGTTGCCAAAGGTGCTTGTGGACCACCAAGCACGAGAGTTTCATGTTCCAAGTGGACAGTGTCGTACCGTCCATCGACATCACCTTGGAGAAAAGGGCACAGAGAGGCTCGTGGGAAGGATTCCTGGACGGCCGTCCAGGATGGAATGACCTGTAGTCGCCTTCCAGATGTTGCCAACTCCTGCCAGGCCCAGCCAGCACGGCCAACAGTAAGGGATGGTGGGAACTGGAATCAAACATATGTCTAGGAGTCCCAAAGGCTTAATTACTGTAACACGCTGTATGTGGGCCCACCCATGAACCTAGTGCACATTTTTTTGGTTTTGTTCTTTACCACCCAGTGTTAATTTTATCAAACAAACACACAAATAAACATATAAATGCAGTACATGTTTTGTATTTTGACTTTTCCCGGCTTCACGACAGGCTAGCTTTTAAAATGCGTGCTTATCCATTTATTTCTTTGCCTTACGGACAAAACAAAACATGAACAGCTTTATGTACAGGTCAGGGAGGTAATGGTGACTAGCTAGTTAGTGCCTTCTGCAAATCTGCAGAACCATTCAGTACGCCGCCCCCCAAACCACCTGCCAAAGCCTGATCTTAAAGAGGAAAAGCTTTCTTAAACGCAGGCTGGGCCCAACGGTTTGACAAAAGTTACATGTGTTTGTCCTCAAAGAAAACCAGTTCAGCTCCTTGCTGGAGAGTTGGAGAAGTTGAGCTAAACTCTGGAATGACAGCCAGGATCCTACCTTGGCATCAAAGGCATGCTTGAAGATCTCACACAGGGTTTTTGCATAGACCTGGGATTTTCCAGTTTTCCGTGGCATACAGGATAGTGGCCTTGACTCTCTTTGCCATTGCCTGCCCCATCAGTTTGGCAGAGAACTTCACAGCCCTGGAAGGGCGGGGGGAAAGAAGGAAGATTTATTGACCTGGGGAGCTGATCTGATCTTTCCTCCTGGTTACTCTCAACATGTTTATTTTTATCTATTTTTTTGCATATGCAGGGTAGAGTTTGCATTCAATACATTAAAAGGTAGGTGTGCACCCATGTGTTCGATGATAGCAAGAAAACCACAAGCACTGAATGAAACCTTCCATGTAAAGGTGAATTGACTTCAGATGCTCCTTAGGTCTACACCTATGATTTATTTAAGAAGTGCACACCTAAGAATGAAACATTTGAATGAGACGTGGGTAAAACATACATCTTGCAGGTATGATTGGATCAACTGATTGCACTTATCTCCCATCTCCACCCCCCCAGGAGCTCAAGGGGGCATTCATGGTTCTCCCCCTCCTCACCGAATCCTCACAACAACCCTGTGAGGTGGGTTAGGACTGAGCGGCAGTGACTGGCCCTAGATCATCCAGGGGATTTGAACCCTGGTCTCCCAGCTCCTAGTCGGAAACTCTAACCACTACACCACACTGGCTCTCTGAGTGAGCCGGGGGGGTATAGCGTCTGGCCAAGTCTTTTTAAAAAATCATTTTTATTGATTTTCTAATAAAAATCATCCAATTAATATATCCAATCATAATACTTCAATTAAAAATAAAAAAAGATCAAATTATAGTCCAAATCGTATTTATTAATTTCTCAGAGCTCCCCATGTTCTGGATCTCTGAAGAATATCTCCAACGTCTGGCCAAGTCTTCATCATTGTCACTGGACTCAAATTCCCACCAGCCCCAGGCAATATGGCCTATGCCAAGGGATGATGGGAACTGTAGTCCAATGCCCTCTGGAGGCCCACAGGTTCCTGATACAGACAGAAGGTCCCTAACCAATTGGATAGCTCTGTTGGTTAGAGTCTGGTGCTGACAATGCCAAGGTTGTGGGTTTGAACCAAATGTATGGGACAGCTGCGTATTCCTGCATTGCATGGGGTTAGATTAGATGATCATCAGGGTCTTTTCCAACTATGATTCTATGAACACACAAACTTTGCACAGGTGAAAAATGACATTTTTAAGTAGGGACGGCACAAGTCATTGAAAAGATGCTCTCTTAACAGCAAGCGCCTCTGATCAGTTACTTTTAATGAGGTGTATGCTTTGCCTGAATCTTACTGGGCTAGTTTACTGGGGTGTCTGTGTTAGGAGCCCTGGCTAATGACCCATCGAGTCCAGCATCCTGTTTTCACAGTGGCCAACCAGATACCTGTGGGAAGCCCACAAACAGGTCCCCGAGTACAACAGCTCTCTTCCCTTCCTAGGTTTCTGGTGGATGGTATTCAGAAGGTCGGCGGTTTGAATCCCCACGATGGAGTGAGCTCCTGTTGCTCTGTCCCAGCTCCTGCTAACCTAGCAGTTTGAAAGCATGCCAGTGCATGTAGATAAATAGGTACCACTGTGGCGGGAAGGTAAACAGTATTTCCGTGCACTCTGGTTTCCGTCACGGTGTTCTGTTGTGCCAGAAGCGGTTTAGCCATGCTGGCCCACATGACCTGGAAAGCTGTCTGTGGACAAATGCCGGTTCCATCGGCCTGAAAGCGAGATGAGCACCGCAACCCCATAGTCGCCTTTGACTGGACTTGACTGTCCAGGGGTCCTTGACCTTGACCTATTCTGAAGTATATTGCCTCCGATGGTGGAGGCAGAACATAGCCATTGTCCAATCCTCTTTTCAAGCAATTGTTTTGCCCCCACTGCAAACCTCAGAATTTTCCTCAAGTGCGCTAATACTTTTTTTCTTCTCTCCTTGAAAATAGGAGCATGTCTGTGTGTGTGCAGCTTATATCAACACCAGTTCTCACCCTCTTTCTTTGGGGGGTGTGTGTGTGCTTACAAAACGATTTGCATAAATTGAAGGCAGGGAAGAAGCACAAAGGTCACTGAGAATAAAAGAAAATGCTGGCAGCCTTCTAAAGGGAAGCAGACTCAGCTTACCCTGCGCACAGCTTAAAATCAAAAGAATACAGAAGGGTAGAAAGGTATTTCCACCCAAACGATAATCGCCATGGCGCCCCGTAAAGCTCTCAGAATGATTGAGAAATGCCTCACAAGCCCCAGAGAGACATCGGTAAATGCAACTTAACTGGGTCAACGGGTGGCTCTGATAATCTTCAATAAACGAGAAAGGTTTGATTTAGTTTTATTTTTCAGGCCGGACTTGCATTTTTGCAAGACTTTTGGGGTGGATTGAATACAAATGGTCTGATTACCACGCAAGGCTGGCTCAAGAGATTTTGCCATCCCAGGTGAATTAATTTTGTAGTGACCTCACATTTTTTAATATACTTGATTTTATTCTGTGAACCGCCCTGAGACACCACACACACACACACCCCGGGGATATAGGGTGGTATATAGGGATGCAGGTGGCGCTGTGGGTTAAACCACAGAGCCTAGGGTTTGCCGATCAGAAGGTCGGTGGTTCGAATCCCCGCGACGGGGTGAGCTCCCGTTGCTCAGTCCCTGCTCAAAAGCATGTCAAAGTGCAAGTAGATAAATAGGTACCACTCCGGCGGGAAGGTAAACGGCGTTTCCGTGAGCTGCTCTGGTTTCACCAGAAGCGGCTTAGTCATGCTGGCCACATGACCCAGAAGCTGTACGCCGGCTCCCTCGGTCAATGGAGCGAGATGAGCGCCACAACCCCAGAGTCGGCCATGAATGGACCTAATGGTCAGGGGTCCCTTTACCTTTATAGATTCAATAAATAAAATAATAATAAGATGGTGGGCTGAACCTTTCTGGAATCATAGAATCGTAGGGGTTGGAAGGGACCACGAGGGTCATCAAGTCCAACCCCATGCAATGCAAGAATCTTTTGCCCGACATAGGACTCGAACCCAGGACCCTGAGATTAAGAGTTGCATGCTCTACCAAACAGAGCTATCCTGGGACAGCTATCCTACAGCTCCCAGGATTCTTTGGGAACAGCCACAATGGTTTAAAGTGGTATAATAGTGCTTTAAACGTACATGGTGTGGATGTAGCCATAGTGCAGCACCCCACAAGCTAAATGATCCCAGCTAGTTCTGGCAGACCCAGCAACGTAGTTCACTTACTTGGCTAACTTTTTAAACCCAATGGCTCTCTTCTTGGTGGGAGTGCCGTTGATGCCTTTCCAGATATGGGTGTTCCATGGATCAGGCTGGGAAGAAAAGAAAAGAACCCTGGATGAAAGGGAAGAAAATAAACACTCAAACTGAAGGGGGGGGGGGGATTTGTCACACCCGCAGCCAGAGCTGGTTCGAGTATATTTGTGTGGTCAGCACCAGTGACTTCACTGTCCCAAGGTGAGCAATGGTGTTGTAAGGACACAATTTGGATCAGGATCTCACTGCTGTTCTCCCTGTTAATATACTGAGCCAGACCAACCAGACCATTGGGCTCAGCATTGTCTACACTGACTGGCAGCAGCTCTCCAGGGTTTCAACTAGAAGATATTTGTCCCCAGACCTACCTGGAGGTGGCGGGATTTGAAACCTGGGACCATCTGCATGCAAAGTAGGTGCTCTGACACTAAGCTATGACACATCTCTTTAAAATAATGCTAAGATTCCAGTCCTCAAGGTTTTGAAGCAAGGGGCAGTGGAAGCTGCTTTATATGGAGTCAGACCATTATTCCATCTAGTTCAATACTGCCTACACTGACTGGCAGTGTCTGTTTAGGGTTTCAGGGAGGAGATTTTCCCCCCTTGCCAGGCCTAACTGGAGATACCAGGGATCGAACCTGGGACCTTCTGCTCTTCCACTTAGCTGCAGCCCTCCCCTTCCTTGCTAGACAGCGCCCTAGCTATTCTGCATCTCCCGACCTCTGACTTGCTGGACACCTGTGAGGGCTGGAGTCAGACACAGGTCAGCACCAAACTAACCAACCACCAAAATACAGCTCAGGCCTAGTGGTCTCGACAATCCTTCCCAGTAGGTCTTGCCCTGATGACCCAGCTACGAGGAGTGAAGGTCCTCACCTTCCCACCCCTCTCTAAGGTTCCTCTTCTCCAGGGTTTCCCCATGCAGTCTCAAACTGCACCTGCACACAGCTAATTTCTCCTCTGCCCTTTTCATTTCTCTGTGCATTCTCAGAGACCAGGAGGGAAGGGGATCTGGTCACAGCAGCAGGAGGAGACTCCCTGGATTCTTCAGCCACCTCTTGATCCCCCTCCTCCCCAACCTTTGCTTCATCCTCAGAGTCTGAACTGCTCTCTGGCACAGACTCTTCCTGCTCACCAAACCCTGTTGCGTCTCCAGCTTCTGACACCTCCTCCTCCCCCTGGCTGTCAGGGACCGTGCTGAAGAGGGCTGCCCTGAGGAGGAATGGTGGGAGCCACCCCCTCCTGATCCTGAATCTTCCCAGGAGCAGGAGGACAGTATAGATTTGGAACAGTGGCTTGCCGAGGGGCACAGTTTAGAAGGCAAAAGCTGGGAAATACTGGATGGGGAACAGCTAGCAGAAGAAACACTAGGAGAGAGAGAGTTAACAGATTCACAGTCTCTGGACAGCATTCACCCCCCCATCCCCAAAGACACAGAGAGCTCAGAAAGTGTCAGAACAGAAAGAGCAGAGGGTACAAGATCAGATTACAAGACGTAGGAGTGACGTGGGCGACTAGGGACGGACAGGGGAGGGAACTTAATTGGGAACACCGCCATTTCTAGGAGGTGTGTTCTTTGTTCTTTTACTGTGATTATTAAAATTTCTAACTGGTAAGAAGGCTCCTTTGCCTTTGTTCTGCTTATCTATTGCCATGGGGGGAGGAAGCCGATTCCCTGAAGCCTGACACTGGCCACTCATCGCCATCCCACTACCAATCCCCTGGCTCTGAATCTTCCCCTGGGGATTCCCTTGGGGCGTCCCCAGCCGGTGCCTCCCACCACATCCTCTGCATCCAGCAAGTTGATGGCAACACCTCCTAGTGAGCAAGAGATACTGAACCACATGGCAGGGCATGGTAGGCGCAAGGCAGGGAGTGGATTGTGTACCTGGTACTCAAAGGAGGGCGTCAGCCTGTAGTTAAGCATCTCTTGGTGGAAGACGGGGGTGATGCTCCCGGACATGGGTGGGACGATCCACACCCAGTCAGCTGGGCAACCTCCCCGACAGCGGTATTCATTTTCCATGTGCTTGATGAAGGACTCCGTGGCCGAGTGGTGGTCCACAATGGTCACCTTGTCGCTCTGTAGGAGTGGGAGGACCAGGTCAACGGGTTCTTAAGCAAAACAGGCAAAACATCACAGAGGACAAGGCTATCAGGGGGTGGGGCACATGGAGAAAGGGCTCGAGGGAAGACCACAGGGTTGACTAATTGGCCATCATTTTGGGAGATGTGTTTCCCAGTACCTGGAAGCTGTACAAAACAGCAATGTTTATCTCCACCAACGCTTGGTCCTTCCAGAGTGATGAGGTCTTCCGCATGTCCAGGTTCATCTTTTTGGCAACTTCCTGCAGTGGAACAACAGTGAAAAGCGTTTCCTCCCCCCAAAATATCCAAAGTTGTGGATTCCTGCATGGGGTGGGGAAACTTTCTCGGCTCAAGGGCCACATTCCCTTCTGCCCAACTTTCTGGGGGCCACAGGCCAATGGTGGGAGGGGTTAGAGGCTCAAGTGAGCAGAACACACACATACCCTCTCCATTGGCTGTTGCGCAGATGATTCTAAACCATGGTTTTATTAAATGATGGTTTATTAAACCATGGCTTAGTGTTATGTGTGAATTCAGGCCAGCAGCTTAACTACGGTTTATCAAAGGTCACTCATTACTCAAAGACTGCAGTTGGTTTATTAGCTTAGTTAACATTGACCATAGTTTACTGTCACGTGCAGTCTTGGAACTCCTCCGGTTAAGGAGCTGCCACCTCCCAAAAACTACAGAGCCACTAGTGAAGATTGGACATCAAATTCAAACTGCTCCCAAGGTTTGGCTGGTCTAGTTGGTGCTGTTAACTAGTTCGCAATGTACTAAACCAAAGTTTAAGTCCGCCATAAGCCTCAGCTTTAACAGTGGTTTGTTAACTTTGGTTAACATTAAGCATGGTTAACTTTGACCATGGTTCAGTGTTACGTTGCGAATCGGATCACAGTTCAAAAAACACCTCCTGGTCGTTTCAAAAGGACTTGAAGAGATTGTGGAGCAGAGCAGGGAATGGTCTGTGAAGAGGAGGTCTTTAAAAGCAATAGATCTTTACAAACTGAGGTCTAAGCTGTAGCACAGAGAGCTCTTTACCAGCAAATCCTGACTGGGATTTCATTGCAGGCAGGCCATTCTTATTCAACCTTAGTTTCCCCTTTCTGGCCTGCCTTACAGAGATATTGTCACAATTGCAAAACTGTCAAATGCTCCAAACCCTCGTGAGAGGCTCTCTCCTACCTCCAGGATGTTGTAGCGGGAGTTGTCGCAGTAATCGCGGACTCCGATCTCAGTGCCCATGTACCAGCCGCTGAAGGGGCAGGCTGAGAACTCCAAGCCACCGATTTCAAGTAGCATGTTGGAAACTGCGGGCAACCCATACCACTGCAGTCCCAGGTCTTTGAACCAGGCAAACCTGCAAACAGGGAAGGGCAGGGCAAGACGAGACACTCTGAATCAGAAACACAAAGTTACAGCCTGAGGGAGCCAGCGCTTGTCTACAGACAGCTTTCTGGGTCATGTGATCAGCATGACTAAACCTCTTCTGGCACAACAGAAACAACATGATGGAAACCAGAGTGCACAGAAACGCCGTTTACCTTCCCACCACAGTGGTACCTATTTATCTACTTGCACTTTTGGGTGTGCATTCGAACTGCTAGGTTGGCAGGAGCTGGGACAGAACAACAGGAGCTCACCCCGTCGCAGCGATTCGAACTGCCAACCTTCTGATCGGCAAGCCCAAGAGGCTAGTTGGTTTAGACCACAGCGCCACCCGTGTCCCTTTCCATGTGCACACAGCAAGATCAATGAGGATCCAACCAGATCCCCTATCTGAGGTGACGCCCACAGCCATAGCCAACTCCGAAAAGGCTACCCAAACATCCTTGGTGGTGAAACAACAAAGACAGGCGTTTCAACTTACTTGGGGTGCCTGATGGGTACTTCCAGAACCAGCTCAGGTGGGATCTCAAAGAGCTCAGGGTCGTTGCCATTGGCCTGGAGCAGGAGCGGCAGAACATCAAAGCGGCCCTTGGGTGGCTTCCACCCTTGCTGTATGCAGATCTGCGTCCAAAGAAAAGAGGACCGATTGGTTGTGATCCATGTTGCAGGACACCAGCAGCCAGGCACAGCTCTTGCATGAGGCAGAGAGCTGCAATTCCTAGAGCTCCTTGTGAACAATTATGGCTTCCCTCAAAGGATTCTGGGAGCTGAAGTTCTCTAAGGATGCTGAGAGTTTTAAGGAGGCCCCTTCCTCCCCTCATAGAGCTACAATTCCCAGAGTTCCCTGTGAATAGTCATGGCTTCCCTCAAAGGATTCTGGGAGATGCTGTGAGTTCTTAGGAGGACCCTATTCCCCTCAAAGAACTATGATTCCCAGAGTTCCCTGGGAAGAGGGATTGCTTGTTAAGCAGCTTTGTGAGTGGAATAGGGGCCTCCTAAGAACTCTCAACATGTTTCAAGTGGTGTTTAATAGTTGATAAGTAAGCTCTTAACTTATTTTAAATTGCATTGTTCTAATATGCTGATGTTTGCTGTCTTAGGCTCCTTCAAGAGGAAGGGCAGAATTGAAATGTAATTTAGGAACAATACTGGGTTGTATCCAACTAAGGCCACATTCATACCAGACCTGTTATGATAATGTTTGTTTGTTTGTTTGTTTGTTTTTCGGCTATAACCCATATTTGGTTGACCAATAAAATCTGGCGATGATAATGGCAATAAATAAGATGATCACAGTTCTACAATGGCTAGGAGACTGGAGGAGTGTAAATCCCTCTTCCTCGTGCACCGACCTCAGTCAGCTCCACGTTGGCCGGGTCTCCCAGGAAGGTGCCGTCCAGCTGTTTGTAGCCAGCGTAGCGGATGAGTTGGGAGTTCCAGACTCGGAAGTCGTGTCTCCCATCCGTCCTCTGGGGGAATATGGTGATGGCCGACCTACAAAAGGCATCAAAAAGGGGAAAGGGGGCTGGGTGTTAGTGGTCCCCAAGAGTAGAGTTCAAGGTGTTGGGGAGACAGGTCAAAAGTCAACAGCTGGGTTGCCAGGCTCAGACTGGCGAAGGAGAAGTGGCGGCTGGTGCCCATTGGAACTGGTAGGGTAGAAGGCTGGGAGGCACTGTGATACCACTTCAAACAGTCATGGCTTCCCACAGAGACTTCTGGGAAAGGTAGTTTTTTGTTTTTTTAAGGGGACAGTGGTACCTTGGTTCTCATACTTAATCCGTTCCAGAAGCCCGTTCCAAAACCAAAACGTTCCAAAACCAAGGTGCGCTTTCCCATAGAAAGTAACGCAAGATGGATTAATCCATTCCAGACTTTTAAAAACTACCCCTAAAACAGTAATCTAACATGAATTTTACTATCTAACGAGACCAATAATCCATAAAATGAAAGCAATAAACAACATACTGCAGTCACACAATCAATCAATCAATCAGTAGCTGAACTGGGTTGCACACAGTCACAAAAACAACAAAAAAAGCTGCAAAAACAAAAACGCAAAATAAATAGCAAAAAACAGACAGACCTCAGCCTAACACTCAAATCGGAAGTGTGGCACTCAAAATGGAAGCGTGGGACTCAAAACAGAGCACGTTCGGCTTCCAAAAAAAGTTCGCAAACCGGAACACTTACTTCCGGGTTTGCAGTGTTTGGGTTCCAAGTTGTTTGAGTACCAAGGCGTTTGAGAACCAAGGTAACACTGTACTGAGAGTTGTTAAGAGACCCCTTATTCCCTCCACAGAGTTACAGTTCCCAACGTTTCCTGTGAGGAGATATTCCTTGTTACACTACTCTCTGAGGGGAGGGAAGAGGGGTCTCCTAACAACTCCCAGCCCGCTTAACAAATTACAGTTCCCAGTGGTGCCTGCGGGAAGCCATGTCTGCCTAAAGTGGCATTGCTGTGCTTTGGATGCCTGATGCAACTTGGGGCCTGGTTGGCTGTTTGCAACCTTTTGCCTAATTTCATGAGGTGGTCTTGGGGAGCCTGGAAGGAAAGAAGGAAAGCGTGAGGAGAACAGAACAGTGAGGGGTTGAGCGGGGTCAGAAAGGAAGGGGTGGGACACTTGATGGAGGAGGTGGGGCGAAAGCCCCTCTGCAAACAATCAATGTCCTGTGGGGAGAGGGAGAGGACAACGGAGTACACTGAAAAGGGGTCTGCCTGCCTGGACCCCTGAACATTCCACACTGATATTTATCCAGACAGACAACAAGGGCCAAATCTTCACACTGCTGGCTCTCGGCCCCCATCAGATTATCCCAGAGGGAATGTGGCCCTCAACAGACAATAAAGCTTTCATATCCCTGGCTTACTTGGATGGTTTTGGATTTATTTATCTGAAAGAGAGAGATAAAGAGAGGGGGTGAAGGAAAAGAAACATGGGGAGAGGGTAGGGTGCTATTAGGTTTCTAAGGGGTTGCTCAAGAGCAAGCAGGCAAGTACCTCCCTGCTCGGCTGTGAAGCCTTGCTTTTGATGCAAAACAAACTTTTATCTGTCTGGAGCGCCACTCTCCCATGGCTGACTCATTCACTGACAGAATCCGTGAGTGGGTGGGGCTTAAACTTTCCCCAGCAAAGTAATTTCTTGACGCCCAGTCTGCGCCTCCCCTCTCTGTGCGAAACCTTCCTGTGCAAGTAGGGCGTGGGTAACGGTGGACCTCTCCCCTCCCTGCTTTGCCCAGACGAGGTGTTCTGGCAACCTCGCCTCCTCCGAACCCTGCAGCTCCTCTCCACTGGAGGCGTGGTTACTCTCCCCACCCCCACCCCCCGCCGAGGAGTAGCTGCTTTCCACGATCTTTGGGGGCTCTCTGTAATCCATCCAGCTTTTCCTCTCTCCCTCCTGAACCAATGGCAGTTCCCTGACAGGTGCACCCATTCCCTTTTGCCTCCAGCCCAGCCCACCACTGGCTCTGAGGTCACCCCCAGCCTCCTATCCCTGAGGGAATGCCACAACCCTTGGCAGAGATGAAGGGAAGATTTTCCTACTGAGAGGCTTACAAACACCACACACCTGAGGTTCCCTTTGTTAGTGGCATACTTTATGTGGTTGCAAATGTAGTTGAACATCCCGTGGGCCGTGGTGCAGTCCCGGGCGTCAAAGACCTGAAAGGATTCAAAGGGAAAGGAGTTCAGCGGACAGGAACAAAGATGAGCAGGGTACCGAAATCCTGATTTTGGGAGGGATGTGTACCACTGCTACATTTCTATCCCATCCTTCCCCCTGAGGAGCGGCTGCTGCTGGTATATGACTCTTCTCCTCCACATTTCATCCTCACAACTACCCTGTGAGGTAGGTCGATAGGCTGAGAGACAGTGGCTAGCTCAAAGTTGCCCAGGGAGCTCTTCATGGCTGAGTGGGGATTTGACCCCTGGTCTCCCAGACCCTAGTCCATACCTCCTTCGACCGTGGAGGCAGGATGGCTAGCAGCCATTATTTAATTCATCATTAAATGAATGAACGATGATGACCATGTCATTTAAAGTCTACTCAATATTGATCCAGAGTAGATTCCAATGTATACGTAGTTAGCACAGAAAAACTTAAACACATTGCAGGATCCCCAAAAAATAGACCAGAGGCAATTAATATTTCATCCAGCAGAGCTTTACTGCTACTGAAGGCAAATGAGCATAATGGTCACAAATCCAATACATTCCGGATTGCCACTGTCCATAAGAAATCCAGTTGCAGCAGACTTAACTTAAACTTATAATACTCATAGTAAGTCTAAAACTTAACACTAAGCATACAGAACACCACCCCAGACGGAAAAGAGATAGAAAGAGAAAAGGAGTGAAGTTCCTTCTGGCCTATTATTATAGTCGGCATGACCTTGACAGAAAGAGATAAGAGAACCAGTTTAAGCCAGCTGTACTCATCTTCTCTGAAGGCATAACCCAAACATCATGAACCTTCTCTCACACGGAGAAGCTTCCAGAACCCTCTTGAATTAAGTAGACTAGGAAAGATCTCTACACATCAGATCAATACTTTCTGCACTAAGGAATGCAAACTGACACACCATATGCAACCTCACCTGCAGCTTGGACCACTGGATCCGGCCCACACAGCGGGAGGCATTGCGCCAGGCATGCTTGGCCCCATAGATCAGCTCTGTGTCTCGCAGTTGGTAGGTGTCAGTAGCTTCTATCTCCTTGGTGACTTCCTCCAGCCTCTCCAGGTGGGCCTTGGAGCCGAACCTGCCAGAGTAGGATTGTACAGAAGCAGTCATTGGTCAACACCACCACCACTGTGATGGGCAAATCTGGGTTATGTTTTGCAAGTGTGCAATCCCATTTTCAATGTGCGTTGTGGGAGGGAGGCAGCAGCTCCTTGGTCGAGCATCCACATTGCACGTAGAAGACCACAGGTTCAATCCCTGACAACTCCAAGTAGGGCTGGTGTCAGGGGCTGGACTCAGGAGGACTGGTGGGGACTGCCCCCTCCCTTTCCTGAATCTTCCCGAGAACAGGAGGACAGTATAGAATTACAACAGTGGTTTGCAGAAGGTCATAGTTCAGAGGCTGCAGAGGGGAGAAGCTGGGAAATATTGGGAGATGAACAGCAGGAATAAGAAGCACCAGGGGAGAGACAACTGATAGACTCAGGGTCTTTGGAAAGCATTCCTGACCCCCCTCCCAGGACCAGGCGTGCATTGAGAGTAGTAGAACAGAAAGCTCAGCTTAGCTGACACAGGGGTGATGTAGAATAGGAGAGACAGAGGGAGTAGGAATTTACTTAGAGCAACGTCATTATCTTTGGGATACTACATTCCTTTGTGTCTCTCTGTGAATAATGAATAAAATTACTTGGTAAGAACTCTTCTTGTTTATCTGCTTCTTGGCTGCCACCGTGGGAGGGATAGGATTCCCTGGGAATGCCTCCACCTGAAATCCTGTAGAGCGGCTGGCAGCCAGCGTAGACCCAGGGGAGACAAGGTGGTGGTCTCCAGAGGTTAGAATCCAAACTCTGTGGATTCCAGCACCAGCCAGCATGGCCAATGGGCAGGGATGGTGGCAGTTGGAGTTTAATAGCATCTGGCGAACACAGTGTTGCCTCCAAGACTGAGGATGGAAGATATCTGGTTTTCAGCATCACACTAGATCGCCAGCTAAACACTATGATATATCATGATGTCTGACATAAGGATGGAGCTATGTAGAGGCATTGGCTGGCTTCAAGGTTTCTACCACATTGTGATTTTTGCATAGCGTGCACACACACACACACACACAAACATAACAATTCACAATATATTTCCAGGTCAAAAATTATGAAACCGATATCACAATATGGACTTCAAACCAGTTTTGGACGATATATTGATATGTAGCCCAGCCCTACCACTGACATTATTAATTTGGCAAACACCCTTTTCATCATCCCAGTGGATCCAAAATGCTGGTCAAAATTTGCATTCCCTTCCAAGGGACACCCACAGATTTTCCTCCTCCTCTAGCATTTGCCATGTAGATGTGAGTTGGATGTGGCATAAATCAAGTCCCGAGTCAAAGGATTGCATAATATTGTACATAGACAATGTCCCGGCCCATCCATCAACTGAAGATTTGACATGAGAAATCCCAATTACAGTTGTACCTTGGCTGTCAAACGTAATCCGTTCCAGAAGTCCGTTCAACTTCTGAAAACATTTGACCACCAAGACCCGGCTTCCAATTGGCTGCAGGAGCTTCCTGCACGCAATTGGAAGCTGCGTAAGCCGTGTCGGACGTTCATCTTCCAAAGAACGTTCACAAACCGGAACACTCACTTGCATTTGCGTCATTTGGGAGCCAAAATGTTTGACTCGTAAGGCGTTTGGCTTCCAAGGTACGACTGTTCTGACTATCATTCAGAGAGCAAGATTTAGAGCTAGATGGGACAATGGTCTGACTCTGTAGAAGGCAGCCTATAATGTATAATATGCCTTGACTTGTCATGAACTGAAAGAGGACAGCCATGCAAAGCTTCCCAGTCACAAGAATGAGCATCTGCATCTCACACTTTCCTGGTATAGGAATAAAGAAATGGGTCTATTTTCAGAAATCTGAATGGTTTCTGGAAGAGAACCCTCTTCACCCTGCCAAGCAGGAGGGTCCCAGACCTTTTCTGTGCAAGACTTGCCTCTTGATGGAGGAATAATACTGATCAATGAACTCTTTCGCCAGTGGGAGCAGCTCTTCCTTTGTCCGGACTTCTTCAGGTCTTCGGACGTGCTGGGAAGGCGTCATAATGGAACCCATGCAGACCTGCTCACTGCAGGGGGTCACCTGGAAAAGGGGTGAAGCAGAAGAACGCTTGGTCACAACAACTCCTTGACAGTCCACCACCTTCCAAGGGAATCCATTCCAATGTTGAATGGTTTTTATCCTCAGAAAGTCCTTCTTAATGTTTAGCTGGAATCTCCTTTATTGTAGGGCTGCCATAAGTCCTGGTTTTCCCAGAAACGTCCAAGAATTTGTCAGCGAAATAATAATAATAATAATAATAATAATAATAATAATAATAATAATAATAATAATATCATCATCATCTATACCTCACCCATCTGGCTGGGTTTCCCCAGCCACTATGGGCAGCTTCCAACAGAATATTAAAATACAATAGTCCTTCAGATATTAAAAGCTTCCCTAAACAGGGCTGCCTTCAGATGTCTCCTAGAAGTCTGGTAGTTGTTTTTTCCTTTGACATCTGGTGGGAGGGCGTTCCACAGGGCGTGTGCCACTACCGAGAAGGCTCTCTGCCTGGTTCCCTGTCACCTCACTTCTCGCAGTGAGAGAACTGCCAGAAGGCCCTCGGAGCTGGACCTCAGTGTCTGGGCTGAACGATGGGGGGTGGGGACGCTCCTTCAGGTATACTGGGCCGAGGCCATTTAGGGCTTTAAAGGTCAGCACCAACACTTTGAATTGCGCTCGGAAACGTACTGGGAGCCAATGTAGGTCTTTCAAGACCGGTGTTATGTGGTCTTGGCCCATGGCGTCTGGGTGGATTTTCACTGAATCGGCAAAATGTCTGGGGAAACCCAGCCGTATGGCAAGCAGGGCGATTTTTTTTTAGAAGCTTGAGAAATCCATTAAAACTCCCAAAATGTTTCTTTTTGGGGGGAGATGTTCCCCCTAAAAAGCTCAACAACTTTGTCCGGATTTTCACTTTTTGGAATATGGCAACCCTACTTTCTTGTCATACGTATCTGTTGGTTTGGGTCCTCCCCTTTGGAGAAGCAGAAAACAAGCCTGCAGCATCTTTCATGTGACAGCCCTTCATATCTTTGAAGATCTTTGGCTATCTCAGCCACCTACACCTCACACTCAGACTGGTTTTTTCTGATATACTGGTTTGCTGTTGTTATTTGTTTATGCAACTTGTATTAGGGTGTTTTTTTTTTGTCACCTGTTTTTTCAGTGTGTACACATTTTTGTATGTCACAAAAATTCAACAAAAAAGTTGGGGGTGGGGGAGAAAAAGAAGTGCATTTCCTGCTACTTAAATCAAATATTTTTTCTTTTTTAAAAAAGTTAACTTAAAAAAAATCAAAATATAAACAGAAACAGCCGTTTTAAATATATATACAGTGGTACCTCGGGTTACAAACACTTCGGGTTACAGACGCCGCTAACCCAGAAATAGTACCTCGGGTTAAGAACTTTACCTCAGGATGAGAACAGAAATTGAAGCAGGAGGCCCCATTAGCTAAAGTGGTACCTCAGGTTAAGAACGGTTTCAGGTTAAGAACAGACCTCCGGAACGAATTAAGTTAATAACCAGAGGTACCACTGTACATTAGAAAATAAAATTACACAGGAAAACACAGGCTTGCCTAAACCTCCTCCCTCCCCCAAATCAGGTGCTGAAAACAGCAAAGGCGCCTGGCCTGATTTCAATGGGCAGGGAGTTCCAAAGCGCAGGCACTTATTTGAACAACATAGGAGGAATCATTAGCAGAAACCCCTCCCCAAACATATTGCAAAATGCCAGCCTCACTTACCATGGTACTCTTCAGATGCAAAGTGTCGTTGAGCACCGATCCAGTCTCCCAATTCCGCACTTTAGCAAAGCGTGGGCACTTGGAGGGGCTTCCATTCACCACATTCTTTGTTGGTGACTGCCGGCCTGAGGGCGGGATCTGGGTGGACATTGGGCAGAGAGCGAAAGAACAAGAACATAGTGTTAGGCCATAAACACCCATCCCATTGGAAAGAGGCTCATGTGCATGTTCTTGTCTGTCCTCCAACTCTGTTTCTCAAGCTTGGAACTCAAGTGCCAGAGTTTGGCTTCCTGAGAATACTGCTTTCGTCGCTTCAGGTTTCTAGTCCTTAAGATTGCAGCTTCCTCTGTGGAATCCCAATTCCCAATATGCCAGTTTCTTCTTTCCTGGCCCAGCTCATAGTTAGTGGTTGGCTCTCAAGGTCTATAACAGGAGTAGGGAAGCTCTCATTCTCTCTCTGGAAAGTATTTTTATTGAATATTATCCCTATAACCCCAATAACAAAATAGAACTTCATGAGACAAACACATGAAAACCAAACCAGACCAAGGCTGGCAATGGAATATTACATTCACAGGAAGAAATATTATAGCTGGTTATATGGATATTTGCAATGAGATACAAACAGGCAAGTGGAGAGATTACAGTCATGAGAAAGAAGAGAACAAGAGATGCTGACTTGCAAAACATACAGAAACAAAAACCAGTGACTGAAACCATCAGAGGCACAAGGGCAAACTAGCAGTTTAAACATGTACAAACCTTTTCCATGTTTCATCTTCACAACAGTCCTGCAAGGTAGGTTACTACCTTAAAAACACTTTTTTAAAATTGATTTTCCAAAATTTAACAAATCCATAACAAATTGAGCAAATTAAATGCAACTTCCCCCCCCTTTTTTAAATAAAAGACTTCAGGGGTAAGGGAAGCTTTCTCAACCAAAGGGCTGTGGCCCCTTCTGCGCAGACTTCTGGGGCCACATGCAAATAGTGGGCAGGGCCAGAGGCAAAAGTGGGCGGAGCAGCAGATGTAAATTTTACCTTACATACGGCAGCAAGAGGCATTTTCAGAGTTCAAGGACACTTCCCAGCCTGACTAAAGCACTCAGGGAGATTTAGGGGTATGTTTGTCCTGGGAAGGGCTAGGCAGAGAGATTTGGAGGGCCACATTTGGCCCTCAGGGTTTCCCCACCCCTGGTCTACAACATACACAGGCCTAGGATCATTCTGAAATTTGGGATTAGAAGCCATGCAGGTTGTTCGTTTCATTTTGTTGCAGCAGCAAGGTTTCTAGTCCTCACTGAGGCAACCTGGAAGGAACTATCCTCAGGGTAAGGAAGCTGAAAGCTTTTGTGATCTCTGCTTCATTTAAGGAAAGAATATTAGAGTTTTTTTTAAAAATCCTGGAGGGAGGCTTATTTTCTTCCCCACCAAGTTGAACATTTGTGGTTGGCCAGCCCTAGGAGTGGAGAATGGAGACCCTGGATCTGGGAGCCAGGGGAGTTCTCTGGAACGACATGGTTAAAGGAGGATGGAAAAGAAAGCAGCCTGGGTTTCCAGGCAGAGGGGGAGCTTAATAGCGGCTTAAGGGGAGGGAAGGATTTTAGCAGCCCTCGAGGTGGAGAGAAACTAAGCCTGCAACAGAGAGTTTTATAGCGCTTAGCAGCGAGAAATCCCAACCACTGAAAGACAAGGCATGAGAGATTCAGTCTTGCTCAGCTGACATTGCCTAGAACACTAAGGGGCTTTCCATACGGTTCTATACTTTCCCATACAGCACAACCTCTCTCTCTCTCTCTGGAACCAACTTTATTGTGCATTTACGATGATTTGCACTTATATTGAGGGATTTATACCTGATATTGTAACGTTTCTGCCTGCAAAGGTTTGGGGGCAGACATACCGCTTCACTTCCAATCTGTGCAAGTCCTGAAAACTTCCTGCGAAAATCCCGTAGCTTTTCATACTACAAATGCTGGGTTTTGGGGTTGTGCTTTCGTTTGACCCTTCAGGCATAGCTGTCAACTTACAGATTTGAAAATAAGGGACCAGCAGCCTTGAAAATAAGGGACCAGCAGCCAAAATAAGGGATCTGCAGCCTCACCTGTTCCAGGCACTCCAGTCTTCCTGTCCTCCTGCAGTCTGGTCAAACTCATGCTGGGTAGCTTCGAGAACACTTTGTAACCAGAGGTTCAACTGAATAGAATCTGAATCACATGCACCACAAGGCCTATGCAGCCTCAACTTAAGATGGCTCCCCGGCTTGGCTTTGCACTGCAAAGTTTGCAGCAGCACGTGCAACAAAATGGCGTCCAGCATTCAAAAACCCCCTCAGCTTGCATTAACTAGCCACACACAAGGCATGCAAGCTCCACCCCCCAGTCGTTCTTAGACTTCTTATTGGGTGAGCAACACAGCCAAGCAACACAGTTGGAGCCTTCTTCCTCCCTGGCCGGCAGGGAGGGAGGGAGGGAGGGAGAGGAGCTGCTTCCTTTGAAATTTAAGGGACATCATTTAAGGGACATTTAAGGGACATCCATCAATAAGGGACAGCAGTGGGACATGGCGCTGGAATAAGGGACTGTCCCTTCAAATAAGGGACACTTGACAGCTATGCCTTCAGGCCTCTCTAAAATGCCCTTGGAACTCTTCCCAGGCCACTCCCCTTCTCTCCAGGCCACACCCTCCCCAGTCTGGCTTCACACCTTCCTTGAATGTTTTTGGCCAGGCTGCCTTGTGTCCTTCAACTCTGACAACGCCTTTGGTTTTCCTGGAGGGAGGAGAGATATGGGTGTTTGAGAGCATGTGTAGAAATTAGCCTACTCTACAAGGGTGCACCCATTACATCCTTTGCCCTGCTCACTTTTGCCCATGGCCCTGCCTGCCACTGGGGCGTGGCAAGTAGAAAGACAAAGTTAAAAGGAAGAATTTGACAGAAGAAGCTATAGATGACAGAGCTAAACATTTCCCAAGTCAAAAGATTTTTTTACTACATAGGTCTGCTGCACCAAAGAGCCTTGCCACACTGCAAGTAATTAGCAGATTTATTATAGCATACAAATCAACATATTTCTTCAAAGGCTGAGATGCCATGAAGCAGGACAGCCCAGGTTGCATCTCCCAACTTTTTTTAAAAAAATAAACTTTAAAAATAGTTATGGAGTGCCCTGAAAATATCTGCGGTCAGGAAACAGGATCAGGAAAGCAGAATGCAGTTAAGGTTTTGAAGCTTCCCCCTGCCACTGTCCTGGGAAAATTGACGCTGTTGGGAGAAGCGGTTCCGTCCTGAGGATTTTGAAGTCGGGAAGCTTAACTTGACTTCCAAACCGGCTGCCAGAATGCTGTTCCAGCTCTGGCCGTAGGGGATACTGCTGCCGCTGCCGCTGCTGCGCTTTGTGCTTACGTGGTAACAATAGAAGCTAATCCATCATGATCCTGCATACAATAAGGACACTAAGTTGGCAGGGAAAGCCCAGAAACAGCCCACAAAAGGAAACAAGGGCAGAGCTGAGGCAGGGGGGTGGGAGGAGACCACACAAAGCTTTTCCACGCCATCCATCAAACACTGTTTGCACAACACGCAGTTGTCAAGAAGGAGGAAACACCAGCCAGCCTTGGCTTGGGAAGCAGCTGAGGTTCTTTTGCAAAAGGAACCTAGGAAACTGCCTTAGACCATCCAGCCCAATGGTGTCTACACTGACTGGCAGCATCTCTCTAGGATTTTAGACAGGGTGTCTCTACTGGCCCTACCTGGAAATGCCAAGGAATTCACTAAGGACTCTCTGTGGTAGCTTATTTTAAAGTTTTAAGTGTCTATACGCTTATCACATTTATCAATTTTAAATTTATTGTTGTACAATGTTTTAAATGTTTGTTTTCCTTCTGGGATTGTACCCCCAAGTGTGTTTTATAAGCTGGTCTCTGACCGTAGTAAATTATCTATCTATCTATCTATCTATCTATCTATCTATCTATCTATCTATCTCTATCTATCATCATCTATCTATCATCTATCTATCTATCTATCTATCATCTATCATCATCTATCTATCTATCATCTATCACTAGGGAGGGGAGAATCTATCAAATGTGGCTTCTCTCAGCTTCTCGTTGCCCCAGTCCTCAGTTCTCCACATTTCTAAAACTATTATTATTATTATTCCATCGTTCAGCCCAGATACTGTTGGCCTTCTGGTGGTTCCCTCACTGCAAAAAGGGGAACAAGGCAGAGGGCTTTCTCAGTAGCGGCACCCTCCCCGTGGAACACCCTCCCATCAGGTGTCAAGGAAATAAACTATCTGAATTTTAGAAGACATCTGAAGGCAGCCCCGCATAGGGAAGTTTTAAATGTTTGATGTTTTATTATGCTTTTATAACTGCTGGAAGGGACGCGGGTGGCACTGTGGGTTAAACCACAGAGCCTAGGACTTGCCGATCAGAAGGTCGGTGGTTCGAATCCCCGCGACGGGGTGAGCTCCCGTTGCTCGGTCCCTGCTCCTGCCCACCTAGCAGTTTGAAAGCACGTCAAAGTGCAAGTAGATAAATAGGTACCGCTCCGGCGGGAAGGTAAACAGCGTTTCCGTGCACTGCTCTGGTTTGCCAGAAGTGGCTTAGTCATGCTGGCTACATGACCCGGAAGCTGTATGCCGGCTCCCACGGCTAGTAAAGCGAGATGAGCGCCGCAACCCCAGAGTCGTCCACGACTGGACCTAATGGTCAGGGGTCCCTTTACCTATCTGCTGGAAGCTGCCCAGAGTGGCTGGGTCAACCCAGTCAGATGGGCAGGTTACATCTCACCAACCTCTCCTCTCTTTGCATCTTATCCACTCCCTCGCCTACCCATTTCACAGCAGGCCCAAATCTCCCCTCACCTCATAGCCCATCAAACCAGCAAGCAGGGTTGGGAAGTGCTTCAGAGAGCACTTTGCAAACTGAAGCACCTCCTAGCCTCCTAGCACCTACATACCCACCTGGACCACTGGCCACCTGCTAGCTTGCTCGCCGGCCTGCTTGTCTATCACTACATCAGGAGTTGCCGTGGCCCCCTACTGGCAGCCACATGAACTTCGGCATGACGACAGCCTTACAGTTACAATGCATCACCCAGCCAGGAGATATCTGCAAGAAGCCTCCCTTGGAAATGGCGTCCTGCTTCTTTAAGAGCTCTGTTCCTAAGCAGGAACTCACTACAGGGAAGGGCCTGGGAAACTCATTCTCAAGCCTATAGGAAGAACATGAGGCCACCTTGAGGGGACAGGCAGGGTCAAACAAAGTCCTGCTTCTCCCCCCTTCCACCTCCGCCTGCTCTTCTTGCAGCTCAAATTCCTCCTGACACGAAATAAGAAGCTTTGTACTGGCGGGTGTGACAACTGGAATGTGGTAGCATTGCTCATATCATGGCAAGCGTTTATTAGGAGAGTCCTGCTGGATCAGATCAAAGGTTTGCCTGCTTCAGGGACTGGGAACCTCTGGGTCTCCAGATGCTGTCGTAAGCTGTGACAAGGGAAAATTTGATTTGGTTTGTATTTTAATGGGAAATTAACTAATTTGCAATCCGCAAACTGAAACACAGTTGTCCTTCGAAAGCTGCACTTCGCCGAATTTTGCAACGCAGTTCTCCAACCAAACATGGTGTTCAAAAATGCATTTGTTAGGGAGAAATCTGCATAAACCTGCACACATTAATGAGAACATCACACATGCACACACATTATGTTGGAGAAAAATGCTTGCAAATTAGTCAAAGCTGCCTACAAAATGTGTTTACTAGCAGAAAAATGCACTGCAATGCAGATTGATTGGGATGAGGTGTCTTTTGTTTTTTAAATGCAAATTGCTGAAGAAATGTGGAGGACTGAATTTAAGATTGGAAAAACTGAGAAACTTAACTCCCGTCTGCACTATAAATTTAATGCAGTACTGTATTGTATCACTTTAAACAATCAAAGCTTTTAAGGAGCTTTTAAGCACGATAGGCTCTTCTTGGAATTTCTGAGAGGTCAAGTTTTAGAGGTCAAGTTCCTAGCCCTCATGCTGTTGGAGCCTACTTTGGTCATGTGATGGCAAAAAGTGGCCAAAAATCTGCAATCAGAAGGCAAGGAAAAAGAACCCTTGGTGGGTTGTCATGGAATCCTTAAGATATTTCATTCTTTGACTTAAAAAACAACAAAACAAAACCATTATTTTTGTTGCTATTAATGGCCCAATATATTTTGCTGCCTGAGGCAAAGTGGCGCGCGCACATCCCTATTCAGCAAGTAGCAAATCCTGCTTCAGTACTGGCAATGAAGCACTGCACTGCCACTGAGGGAGATCAGCAGGGTGGTTATACAGGTGGAGGGCAAGCTCTCTTTCCCAACAGAAGAGTATGGTCAGAAAACTCAGGAGGAAGAGCTGAGGGACACCACCACCTCCCAGCATATGCCGCCCGAGGCAATCACCTCACTCTGCCTAATGGTAGGGCTAGGGGACCCGACAAGGGTGTTAGCTGCCAATGAACCTCATATCTCAAAGGCTATGCTTCTACTTTGCCCCTGTGTGAGAACAGATGAGGCCCACTTCCACCCTCCTTGCCCTCCTTTTTAGCACCTACCGGGTCCTTGTCCAAAGAGGGCTTGCTCGCGACAGAGGCTGCGTCAGTCTTCTCCCACAGGTCGTTGAAGACTCGGTCGTTCTCCATTCCTGATGGCAAAGCCTTTGGCGACTTCCGGTCTGCTTCCCGGAAACTGGAAGAGGGGAGGCCAAAGAGACAACCCCCTCGACAGGTCAGCAGTGGAGGGAACAAATACCTGGCCTGTATTCTTTTACTTTTTACAGGTGTATCCTGCAATATGTGACTGATGCAACATTGGGGGGTTTCTACCAGGCTATCCACACATCATTCCAATTTATTAGTGTCCCAGTTTTCCAGGGACAGTCCCGGAATTACAGAAGCTACCCCAATTTCTGATTTGATCCGGGAATGTCCTGGTTTTCCCTTTTTCCTCCTCTCCTCATCTCAGAGAACAATCAAAAGTGGTGGAGAAATCAGAACACCTCCCCCCCTTCTTGGAAACAGGAGCCTTTGCATTCTCTCTCTCTATCTTTCTCTCTCTCTGTGTGTGCATAGATGCAAAAACGGAGTCCTGTTTATACTGAAAATAAAATACCTGCACAGAATGAAGGAAATGTGTTTGTGATCTTCAGATGTAGAGTGCTACACACATTAATGAAGAGGAGGAGGAGGAGGAGGAGGAAGAAGAAGAAGAAGAAGAAGAAGAAGAAGAAGAAGAAGACGACGACGACCTAACCACTGATGGCAAATGGGGAGGCATAGCTACCCTTCTTGGATCTGCTTACAGCCACATTAAAATCTGCCCAGCTGTGCATATGCATCTCACACTTGCAAAACAACAGAGAGCTGCTGTCTTTGCAAGTCCATACAGGCACACCACTATAAATGTTGCTTTGCCCCGTCTTCCCCAGAATTTCGACTTGCGCCACATTGTTCCCTTTGCCAGCTCTGCCATGCCGTGTTCCCAGCATTTTTTCATTGACCTGCCCATGCAAATGCAGGCAGATACAGTACTTGGCCCTGTGAGATACAGGCCAGAGGGAGCAAGAGGGAGGGTACAAAGGGGTCTCCACCCCCTGCCTCCTTTTCCCTCTGCAAACTAAAACTATCTCTTTCTTCCCAATCACAACTGGGCAGATCACAGTGGCTGGCTGAGACATTATTATTATTATTATTAGCTTTGATATAGTATTCACCTTTCTTCCCCCTCCCCAATATTTTGTATTGAATTTTAACAACAACAAACAAGTTGGAGGGGGGAAAGAAATGAAATAACACTTTTTTTTAAAAAAAAAAAGGGTAAGTTGTCACAATCGCCAGTAAAGAATATAGCATATTTACTAAGTCAGAAATAAAACATACAGAGAGGGGAAACCATGGTCTATAATTACAAAGTTGTCCCATGGTCTGAATTAAAACAATTTCAATTTTGTATTTCAAAGAAGAAGCTGAAAAATAGCCTTGGGTTGTATTAAGTCTAGACACTTGCATCGGCCTCTGGGACCTGATGCTCCTAAACCATGTTTTTTGTTGCTGGCGTACGCCTTTCTCAAGAGACAATGGAGTGCGCCTCTGGGGATGAAGTCAAACGGCTAAGTTAGTGGCTTCAAAGTGACCTCTCCGTGGAGCAAGCCAGGGCAGTGTGTATGGAGGTCCTGGGCTGCGCAGATGACAAGACCCCAGCTCTTGGTCTTGCAAAGGAGAGCAGAGCAAGATGTTTGGTACCAGCTTGGCTGCAGGAGTTGCTGGAAGGAGGCATGCAAGGCACCATCCAACCGCCTTAGGGATTCCACTCCAGATTTGTGTAGGGTTCACACTTTAGCCTTTTCTTCTCCTGAAGACACCCTGCAGGGCAGCGGAGGTTTAGGATCAGAGTTTTCCTTCTCCTAGATGGGCTACTTTCCCAGGCTGATGAGCCCCATCTGCCCCTCACTTCCCTCTACACTGCGCACCAGCTGCAACATATACAAGAGGCTCACTGACGGCAGCGACAACAACACCAAGCAACCATGCAGGGCTGCAAAGTACACAAGTTGCAATGCATACACAAAGCTCTCTGCTCTCTGCATGCATTTGTGCACATGCTGATGGGCAAATATGGGCTGCCCTTTCTGCCCTCAGCCACTCTCATACCGTCCAACTTTTCCAGACCCAAAATGGGAACGTGTGACTTCCAGGATGCACCCCCAGGCGAGTTATGTGACCTGTGCTGCACTTTTTCAAACCAAAAAGGAACTTTCCCTAGGAAAATCTTGTACAGTGACCCAAAAAAGCACATTTTTGGGTGCTGTGAAATACCACAACCCCCCCCCAAAGCTCTCTTTTTTCTTTTTTGAGGCAAGAGCACGGCATGAAAGAGAGCAAGGCTGTGATGACCAAAGTGGCTGCCGCAATCTGGCTTGGAAAAAATGGGCTGTCCCTTTTTTCTGGGGTACTTGGGAGCTGTGCAGCCCCCACTGGCAAGCCTTTGGGCTGCCCCATTTTGCCAGGGATGCAATACTACCAGGATGTAGAGGAAGAAGAGCTTGCATTTGATATCCCGCTTTATCACTACCCTAAGGAGTCTCAAAGCAGCTAACATTCTCCTTTCCCTTCCTCCCCCACAACAAACACTCTGTGAGGTGAGTGGGGCTGAGAGACTTCAGAGAAGTGTGACTGGCCCAAGGTCACCCAGCAGCTGCATGTGGAGGAGCGGAGACGCGAACCCAGTTCCCCAGATTACGAGTCCACTGCTCTTAACCACTACACCACACTGGCTCTCTATTAGCCAATAGAGGCTGATCCACTAGAGCAATGGGGAGAACTGCCCCACCAACCTCAGCCAGTTCCCGCCTGCCTGCCTTCATACTCACAACCTCTCAGGGGATGGTCTGGCTTCCACCTCCTTCCTCCTTCGTCTCAGTGCTGCCTTGTAGAATTTAGCAGGGAGGATGGAGACACAAACAGAATCCGTTGGCTCCACCAGCGGCGTAACTAGCCGCTCGGGTGCCTGGTGCAGGGGCGTGTCCTGCAGCCGGGGGTGGGGTCAGCTGCCCATGAGGGTGGGGTGAGCCTCTCCATTGCTTAGAGCCCCTCATCTGCCTCCCCCTCAGCTGTAGGGCAGCTGAGGGAGAGGCAGAAGGTAGACGCAAGTCCCACACTACCATTTCAGGAAGCACTGAACCTGCAGGCACCAAAACCACCATGTCACTCCTAAAAAGTTTTGTGAGCCCAATTAAAAAAAACCCCTCAATTTTGTCACCCCCCTCAGTGATGACACCCAGGGCAGACTGCACCCCTGCACCCCCTTCCTCCGCCACTGGGCTCCACCCATCTGTGGCTCTGACTCCACCTACTCTTGGCCTTCCTGCCTTCCACCCTACCCGTTCCAACAGGTGCTGGCCACAGCTGGCAAGTCTTCCTGGTTTCCGTGACCGAAGCCAACCTGGTTTTAGACATGCAGAATGTCAGGTCACGCAAGGCGGTCCACCGAGGTCTTTGCTTCCCACCTAGCTTCCCCCGAGGCTCCGAAACGTTAAAACCAAGAAACAAATCCGGGAGAGTTTGGGGGCACCAGGAGAGGGATCAGGAAAAGGACTTGGCCCAATGGCAAGCAACTCTGACGAATCCCTGTGTGCTGACTGGAAGTAAAAACAATGGATATTTCGAAATGAAAACAAACACTGATTCTATTTAAAAAAAATAAAAATACCAGGAAATGGAAGTTCTTAAAATAATCATTATTCAGGGATGGGGTGGAGCAGACAATCCATTCACAGAGTAGCAGATCTGGACAGCTCTGCTAAGAAGGCACCGAAGAGTGTTTGCTCTCCTGGAGAGTTGGCTGCAAAGTCCTTCCACTACAGAGAAAGAATCTTCATTGCCCATTGCTTGGTGACAGAGCATCAGCCTTACATGCAAATTGTCCCTGGTTCAATCGCTCGTGACTCCCTGCCTGGAACCCCGGAGAGCTGCTGCCGGTCAGTGCAGATAGTACTAGGCCAGCTGGAGCAATGGTTGGATAGTTCAAGGCAGCTGCCTAGGTTGCTCCGAATATGAGATTCTGTCCGTTGCCAGCACAAAGGCTGGGGATGGAGAATTCAGCACAAAGGATAAAGATAAAGAGCCAGAAAAGATGGAGAAGGAAATTTGAAGTTGCCCATCAAGCAGCCTGAGCAGGCGGCCAGCCCCACCCCTCCGGTAACAGTCGTCCCCTCTATGATGAAAAGACCCAGTCGGTAGAGGATGAGACTTAATCTCACGGCCACGGGTTCAAGCCCCACCTTGGGCAAAAAGATTCCTGCATTGCAGGGGGATTGAACTAGAATACCCTCATGAGAAAGTGTGAGGAGGAGCAGGAAGTTGCAAACAGGATAGAATCAAATAATTGTAGAGTTGGAAAGGACTCTGGTCTTAGTCTAAATTTCAAAGGTTAGAAAGAGGTCAGCACAGCGGTTGAAAGAGCAAGGATAGTCTGGGAATCTGCAGGCCCCTTAAGCCCCATGCAAACCCCTTTCTGCAAGCCGAGTTGCACCCAAACTTCCAGCAGTTTCCGTATTTTTCGCTCCATAAGATGCACCAGACCACAAGACACACCTAGTTTTTGGAGGAGGAAAACAAGAAAAAAAATATTCTGAATCTCAGAAGCCAGAACAGCAAGAGGGATCGCTGTGCAGTGAAAGCAGCAATCCCTCTTGCTGTTCTGGCTTCTGGGATAGCTGCGCAGCCTGCATTAGCTCCATAAGATGCACACACATTCCCCCTTACTTTTTAGGAGGGAAAAAGTGAGTCTTATAGAGCAAAAAATATGGTATCGTCTGTGCTAAACAGGAAATCTAGGGAAGCTGGCTTAACGTGGCCACCTTCAAAATGGGCAGTTTTTTAAAAAAAATCTTTCCACTGCCGTACTTGCAACTGTTCGTTTCTTCTCCCAGGATCAAAACAACTTCCGCCTTCAAAGAATTTACTTCTGACCCACGTCAAATGACTTTCACAGCAGGGGGCTGTTGCTAGTTCATTATATCCGTATATTCCGGGGGGGGGGGGACAACAAAAGCAAAAAAAACCCCAACCCCAACCCCACATATAGGAAATTGCCAACAGCCTTATTGGCACAAAGCCCTAGTGTGTTTCGACCGGGTCTTTTCATTGTCTATTTTTAAGGCTATATGCCATTGGCCTGAACAGGCTGTT